AAAGACATCCTACCACCTCGCTCCCAGCACCTCCACAGGGCCAGCACTGCAAACTGTGGCTGCTGAACAGCCCCCAACTATAACGAAAACCTATCAGTATGTAGTTGATCCAAATTTTGCCCAAGTATTCATTAGCAAATTCACCATGGTGAAAAATAAGGCCTTGAGGAAAGGATTTAATTAATAGTTATTTGTGTTGAGTATAGTAATGGCGTACCAGTGTGAAAGTAATGCTTTCTCTGCAGTAACCTGCATCAAGTAGAGATGCATATAATTTTTGAGGAGGTAGAAATTGGTAACAAAGCCCAATAGCTTTTCTAATCTTAACAACATTCCTGCTCCCTAGCCAAAATACTAGTGCTGGAAGGAAAGCATTCTGGCAAATGAATAAAGTGAGACGGAACAGCCTTGGACTATAGCTCAATCAAAATCCCTTTCCTTTTCAATAACCAAAAATTAGAGAGTAGGGAAAAACTGCGTGCATACAGACATTTTTGCCACACACACAAATGTGTATCAATACCTCTATATCATCTTTTAGAGTCTGCCAGTTTCTGTTATAAACCAGGTTTATAACTCAGCTGTAAAAACTTGCTCAAGGCTGAGCCTTTTCCCCCACACCCACGCTCCCCCAACATGTGCATCCTGAGGCAAAACATTTCCCCCACTAAATCTGAAAAACCCAGTGTGGCTGTTTTAAGTTACTAGTGACAGCTGGGTTTTAGCACCACTTTAACCTTAAAATAGCTTCCTTTATTTGACTGAAGTTTTGCAGGACATTAGTCCGTAATGTAAACTAGTGCCTTTGTGTGGTTTGGAGGACAAAACATGAACTACAACATGAATTTATTTTTAAAACTGTCTGTATACAGAAACTTTATTTTATCCACCACCAAATTTTCAGAAGTACTTTCAATGTATGTATGACTGTGCGTTGTCTAGTCTTTAGCTGGAAGTAACATGCAGGTAAAAAATTTAAGAAACAGAGCTGTCTCCTTAAAATCCACAAGCTCAATGTAACCCAGATGTGCAGGTGCTAAGTACAGCCTTGTGGGATCTTGCTTATTTCTGATCTGCCACCACTACATTGTATGTGCTCCCTTCAGCCCTAATTCATTTTATGCTTATCATCTTCAAACAGATAAAACCAGGGATATTTAGAAACATGACCTTTCAAATATGTACTAAGCAAAGAGATTTTTTTTTTCCAAATTGATTGAAAACTATGGACCCGCAGGCACCAATTACCTTAATAGTTAATGATGCCATCACAATACACTTACAAATATATATTAAATACCTGTATTTCTTGTAGTAGACAAGAAATCACTGACTCTGGGCACAGTTAGATGACTTTATAAACCAAATCTGGCTATGGCAGTTTTATTTTAAAACCCAAACGCTTACTTCATTTTCAACTATGCACGTTAACTTTTCTGCCCTTTTCCATGTGCTTACGGACATGAATTTTGTCTGGAGATTCCTGAACATGGCTGGAGTCAGAGACAAGAACTGGAATAAAATCTGATCGCCATTTGGAGCATATGCTTTATAGTTAATAACTTCTATGCATACTTGATATGACCAAATGCACAGTAAATAAGAATGTAGTAACTGCAATGTTTTTCATGTGAGTTGTTTTGTTAAAAGGTATTTCTAAAAGCCGTGTCTCTCATGTACTGAGAATACTGGGGCCTGGGGTCTGCATTGTCCTTTTCTGACTGTGAAATAAGCCCATCCATTATCAACATTTCATACAGTGGTTTAATAACTTAGTCATTGTTTAAATAACACTATTTAAAAAGTCTATATGTATATACACACCCATGCTTCGTTCCTGAATATTTTACGGAAATTGTTTAATATTTCTAATTTTGCATTTTGATGGATAAATTGTAATATAATGGAGTTGTTTAAAGATAATAAAGCTATTCCTATAATACTTGGGTTTGTGAGGTGTTTGGTCATTCAGTTACAAGATGCAGAACAATGACAATACTGAAGTACAAACTTCACGTGGATCCCATTAGATTCCAGTTGGTCACTGGACTTTGCAGTGTACCAGAAAATTCAGTAGATCGTGACAATGCTTTGGAAGCAAAAACTGATGATTAGATTGCCAAAAATGTGTACTGAAAAGTTTTATGCTTTTGTGACTGAATCAAAACAGTACTGTAGGCACCATGTGAGTTAGACCAATCTGTTCCTTATTTATGCAGTACACAGACAAGCCAAGAGGATGCAAACACACCTGTAAAAAATGAGGGACAGCGGTTTCATTTCTGAGTTTGTAGATTTCAGCCATTATTTAAAATACATTTGTGTTTTTCCTGAATTACAGTCTCCTGGAATAAACACTTGCTTAAATTACACTTTTCTTCAGTGAATTGAGCTGCATCTTTACTGCATTAGACAGGTTCTTTCTCCCCCTTCCACACCACATGTATGGAAACGAGTGGAGACGGCACATAAATCAGCCTCTCCTACATATGAGCTATGTGAACTATGAAAACAAAGTTGTCCAAAGAGCAGCTGCCTGTACTTAGCTGCTAAAGCACTCCAATGTGTATTCTTAAAACATGCCTACTCTCATAATGCTCTTTAGACCTGGAGAGCTCACAACTTCAGATCTATCTTTTTAGTTTGCTTCCAGAACAATCAATCACTCCTCAAACACTCGAGCATAAAGCAAGCCAGCCAAAAAATTTGAAGGCATGGTCAGGCTTATATACAGAAAGACCTTTCCCAAATCAAATAACTCCTTTTAATATATTATTTCATACATAAATATAGCAAAAACCTTTAGACAGTTGGGATGGTCTCAGAGCAGACAAGCATGTTTTTTCAGCCCTGCATCTCCTAGAAACAGCATGTCAGACTCTGTAACAAGCAACTGATAAGGGTCTTATTCACAGGTCTTGTACTATGCTAAGTCCCACTCCCATTCTTTGTAAGATAGAATTAGCTAAACTCTTGCTGACAAAGGCAAAAAAAAAAAAAAAAAAAAGGAAAACAGGCAGGTTGGTGCTGAAAGCAGGTTAGGTACCCAGCTTTGCCCTCCCTCCAGAGGAATGCAAGCAGTGGGTTGGTTGGCATTGCCTGCTGAAGGGAAGTACTTGCCTTGCATCCAGTGTGAAACCAAAATGTATACAGAAAGCAACAATTACAGACTTCAGATTTCTCAAGGCAAAGCCATAAAAATTAGAGCTCACCTTTCTTTGTTGAATACATTTAGCCAGAGACACCTCTGCACTCTGCTGTACTGTCAAAAACTGCCTTCAATCACAAAACTCATCTTTAAATCATCGTGCTGGTAACTGAAGGAACACAGACTACAATAACTGCTGCTTGCTACAACAGTTTAGAAGAAACTTAGAATTTAAAAGTAAATTAATTCATAGCAACTGCAAAGAACAGAAGGACTAGAACTGCAAGGGAAGTCGTGTCTATTAGCCTGCACACCTGGCAGTAGCAAGTTTCTTTGCCTCTGAAGCTGTCAGTATGACTGAAGACCACTGGCTATTTAAACGTGCACAGGCTTGAGAAAATGTTAGTCAGTACTTAACGGCATACAATGTTTATACTGTACATTGGGAAGATAAATGGGTATCATTTGCTATTGTTAAGATCTGGTTTACATTTATAGGAGAAGGGGTATTTTGATTACTAGATGGTTTCCCCTGCACCACTAATGTCAAATTTCTTCCTCTGCTTAAAGGAAGCACAGCCTGTATGGGAAGTTCAAAGAAAATCCCACATTGGTCTAAAAAGTGTTCTGGATCACATACATTACTTATGTGCTTTCATTAGTCCAAATGTTGTTCAAGGATACCTATTAAGTGTTAAGTAGTTAATGATCCATGTAAAATAATAAGAGTTACTCCAAACAGGATTTGAACCGAAGACCTTAAAATACAACACAGATGGCCTAATTTGTCATGCTGCTTCATACCAAACCTCCCCTTTCACGCAGTCAGCTTTTGACTGCTCTCCTAGTACCCACATGCAGCAAACAAAAGCTGCAGTCCTCCTTTATCCTGAGCAACAGGCAATGACAAAGCTTGTCCTCACTGACAGGTATCGTGGCATAAGAGAGAGCATCAGGTCTCAGACTGCACAGAACACACCAGAGATCCAAACTATGCTTAGGTGACTCCTTCCAGATATTGAAAAGGTGATGATACACATCTAAAAGCAGTGTGCCGAGATTTTCATTACCATAATATCCTCAAGTATCCGTCCGCCCATACCCCCTTTCACCTTGTACATCACACACACATGAACAAGCCTGCAGTTTAGAGTCATAACATACCACATATAAGAACAGGCATGTGCAGTCTGTAGGTCTTGCTGTAACAGTTGGCTGCTATAAGGAAGGCAATAAGCAATGACAGCAGAAAAAGACAGGAAGGTTGGCTAGTGTATTTCCAGAATGCCTCTCCAAATTCTTTCAAGGTCAACTCACCTTGTGAAGCCTGAGGTAACACCGACCTTTCCAGAAATCTATCCTCTCCCTTCCTGTAACATCTGTCCTCTTCCATATTCCCATCAGCAGCTGGGACAACCTAGCTGTAACTGCTTAGAGATATAATAATAATGGCCAATCTTCGCGAGCGAAGATCCGGGGAAGGTCTTTACACCTTCCAGCCTGCGCATTGGATTTTTTAGGTGAGACACAGTGTGCGCGGAACTGAGCCCACCCTTTAATCCTAAGGTTCATCTGCCGGGGCCAAGCGAGCTTGGACGGTGGCAGCGAGGTCCTTAGGACGTAGGTGGGTTGCCTTTAAGGGCTAACGAGCTCCACCTGCCCGGGAGTGGCCCTGTGTTATCAAACATGGAACTGGGTCAAAACAGAGATGCAAATAATTCCTGGAGGAAAGAAAATTAGACTTAGTCATCTTGTGCAGTTTCTGAACACCCTAAGCAAACTTGAGTAGCTTCCACCACTCTTCCCAGCAACTGAGCCTTTAAGCATTTCTACATTAATGAAGACAACTAAATGCCACTGACATATGTATTTTATTTATTGAGTTACATTAGAGTGTGCCATGCACTGCAGTGCATTACACTTCACAATTCAGTGAACAAATAGGGTTCGGTCATCAGGTCTCCTCGGGCTAAACGGGATCTGCAAGATAAAAAAATATTAAGTTATGATGGACAAACTTCACGCTCCAAGTAAACAGTATTAGTATGTATGAATGCAAAGCAACAGAGAGAAATGTTTATGTGGTAGTTTAGTCTAGAGGAATTCCCCCTGTTATTTCCTGATGGTTTAAGAATCATACACCCTTCATGTGGCAAACAGAAGTGAAACATGGAACAAATCAAGAGCTGGAACAACACTGCACAGCACATCAGATTCTCTATACATGCTGCCCTGGTAACTGAATCAATCTTGCTGAGGGACTGCAAGAGAAAGGAATGCAGCCTTCGGACAGGAGCCAGAGAGGAAACAAGTGGTGAAGGCAGCCTACCAAGGAAGGAAGAAAACCAAATTCAAATTGCTTCTCCCCATTATACTGAACACCATCCAAGACCAGCTGTGCTCCATGACAAGAGTCATGCAAGTGGTTAGCACCAACCTCCAAGCTTGCCCTTTATTCTGTCTGAGCACACAGCACAGGTAGAGAGGTAGGACACTCCTCAGATTTATACTTGCACTTAGTTTCCATTGTCAGGATCCCCACACAGAGTGCAAGGTGATGAAACACTGAGTGCCAAGGTGCCTCCATGCCCAGCAGGAACAAATGGTGCAGAGTGCTCTGCTACCACCTTAACTAATGAATTCTCCTCCCTGCCTACCCTACCCTTTCTTCAATTCTGGGGCTAAGTACTGATTCCAGAGTGAGTATTCAGTGAGGTTAAGCCACTGTATTTACTGCCACACAACAATGTGGTCCAACAAAATGAGAAATGCAGAGTGTGCATGACCACTGTACCTTCTAGGTAACTCTACCAAAAAAAGGCATCAAATTCAATCTCCATAGCTAAGATTTAAACTCCTGAGGCAACCAAAAATGTCTTCCATCTATTCTGTGTACTTGTCCTTTACAGAACATCTGAAACACTGGCATTGTTTTCCCCTTCTACCTTTGTATTCACGTGCAGGCACAACAAAAACCAACCTCTTTCTACTATGGAGTGAAAAATATCTGTTCTTATATAAATAGGTTAAGAAATAAGAAGCATCAGCAACTCAAACAAAATCACATAAAAAGATTTGTCTCACATTTTCTTTTCAGTCAGTACAATTAAGAAATGAAAGAAATATTTAGGAAACATTTAATTTTAACAGGTGCACACAATGTGCAACTTTTTATTTTTAATCTGCAAAGGGGAACACAAGCTAACTGAGCTCCATTTGCACTGAAAAAAGTCCTGTTCGTGATTCCAATTAAATATTCAACATGCATCCTTGTTGACAGTGTTTGTTTCAAATGATTTTACCACCAGATGGCCCTTCAGAATACACTGATGAAGGCCACCTGACTAAAGAATGCAATCCAGTGTCTAAAGAAGTTTAAAAGTGACTATATATTAGCAATAGGACTGAACCAGAGGCAGAATTACCAAGATTTAAAGCAGGTGAATTTATAATTTCATTGTTTATCTTTCTTGCACTCACAGCTAAAGAGCAGCAGTATCCCGTTCTCAAAAAAAAAAAAAATCTACCAACTGGGAGTTGGTAGTTTGGGACTGACAAAGTTTTTTTTTTCCTTTTTCTCTAATTTTTTAGAAGAGATGGAGCTTTGGGCTTTTTGTGTAATTGTGTTATGCAGAAACCACATAGCTGCAGATTGTCACAAAACAGAATATAGTATTAATAGTGTTAAGTACAAGTCCTTTATTCAACGTTGCTGCTTCATGCAAACAGGCTGAGAAAACCCAGCTGGCCGGGATAATTAGAGCCACAGATTATCACGTAATGATCACAATATGAAAACATTCCAAAAGAATGAAAAAGCTATCATTCTAAATTAGTCTGAAGTAATTTTAGAAGAAGCAGAGAACTCAATGTAAAAAATTTGCATCAAGAAAGGTGGAGGAACTCTTTATTGAGTTGTCACATGAGCTTGTGCAGCTTAGTGAGTGTAGTCATTAGTAATTACAGCATGGCTGAAATCACGACTTTTTCCCGGTGTTACGAGTAAGGGAGAACACAGAGCTGTATGTCACTGCAATCTTTATATATATATACATAAAAATACATATATGTGTGTGTGTACAAATGTATTTTCCCCCATGACTAGTTATCTTCCCCCTCTCACCAACTTCAAAATACAAAGGATGTGCAGAAGCTGTCTCTGTTTCTTGCATTAAGATGCAAGCTATGAGAGAGAAACAGCCTCTCCATTTTCTCACTCACTGTACCACCACAAGTATGTAAGCAGTAGATAGAGACAGCCCCAAGTTAAGCAGTTCAAGATGTGACAGCATCAACATAATAGTGGAATCAGGGAAGACTTGCAGTTTAACACAAGAACTTTGTCTCCTCTCCATGGCTGCATGAGGAGGGCAAATGTCTGGCATCCCCACTCTGTCTCCTCTATCACATAAGTTAAACAAATTACCCAAAAGGCATTCAGGAGCTCCTATCCTGCCCTTACCCCCAGTCCTCAATTCCCCAGTTTCTTCAAATTTTTATTACCCAGAGATCTCTTGAGTGTAATTTGTAACCTTTTTCTTCGGAAATTCCTTTCCATTTGAAAATAAAGGAAGAACCTCCCAACAGAAGCACAACATCTCACTGAAACAATCCCACTCACTCCTGTTATAACGCAGAGTAGTTTAATACCTACCAATGCAGCTTACCATCATTTGGGTGGTGCACACTCAAACACACCAGCTGCCTTCATGGCTTCAAAGTCCTTCATAGCATCATAGTTTTTATAGAACTCTGCATAAGCTCGTTTTCTGGGTTCAGCGATTCCAAACTGGAAAGTAACACACAGAAAATTAAAGCTTGCAAAGCTTTAGTAACACAGTTTTTTTCTTTGTTAGTGCTATAATTTCTATCAGTGGATATTAGTCTAAAAGGCCTTTAGCTGACATTACTAAATATTATTTTGTTCCTGTTAAAATCCACAGTTCAGGCTACCTGACCATTGGTCAAGAAAACAAATGTAAAACCTTAAAAAGAAGGTACATTACGAAGCAGCACATCACATATTTAAGATCCAAACCCACTCCATTTATATTGATACTCATGTGTTCAACACCATCCCTGCTAATAGTTTTATACACAAACCATGCCATTATGGCAAACTTTATGCTTGTGGGCAGCTGCAAAACTGTAACTCCAGATAAAATGGCACCCTAAACTGAAGTTTGACTACATTTGACTTCAGAAGCCTGGTAAAATTTTACAAGACTGCCAAGCCACTCTTGCAGCTCACCAACATAGAAAGACACAATCCTGACTCCCTGCATACTCATTCACCTGAAGCACAGGAGTATGCTCAAAAAGCCCCCAAAACATAAAGAGAAGTCCAAAGTGGGTTTGTACAGCAGTATCTAACAAGTAACAAAGTAAATCACTACTGAGATCCGAGTTACTTGTTCTAAGAATGGTCTGCCACCTTACGAGGGTATTAACGTGGGAGTGCCAAGTAAGGGATACACCCAGAAACTATGAAAAAATTTATATTGTTAAATCTGACCACAAACAAGCTTGTCTACCTCTTAACAGATGTACTGAGTACATGTTGAGCTTTAACTGTGCAAGCTTGTTGTTCTGATAGACATTTGTTGCTCCGAGAAGTTTGAGGTTTTGTGAACTACCTGAAATTACCTTCATTTCTAGTGACTTTGTACAGCTTTCTGCTGCAAACAGTATATGTGAGAGTTCAATGGGCAAACCAAGATCCCGTCCTTCCCCAGGAATTCACAAGTGTTGTTTGCTTCATGTATGAGATCCCAGAATTATTTAGTTAAGGGCACTCAAGAACAGCTACTGCTCTTATCTTTATCAGAAGATCACCCTGTGTTCTCCTGGAAATGTAATGGTCCATTTCCACTTAAAAGAAAGGACAGAAGGATCACAACCACCCCTTCCCACACTGACCTCTTCAGTGGGAAGGACGGGTTTTCCAAACTGTTTAAGAGCAAGTTTTCTGAGATCAGTCAAGAGATAAAATAAGACTTTGAGTCTTGGATAATGTGACAGAGAGACACACAGACTACCCAGAGTTCATGTGCATCAGCTGTGTGAGTGATCAAGTGCAGTCTGGGACTGGGGGACTTCAGGTTAAGTTGTCACGAATTGCGTGATCTTGACCACACAGCTCAAAGCATCAGGTTATTCATATCATTTCTTCAAATGAAGATTAGCAGGATTTATTTATGTTCTGGAAACATGCTTACAAAAATACATTACTAAACCTTTCCGATGAACAGCTCAACCCAATCTCAACAGAAAAATATTATGAATTCTTAAAACACTCTAATGAGCACAGTTTGCAATTGAATGCTGCAGAGCCCACCTTGTATAAAGCTGCACATCCTATTGACACAAAAAACGCCCCAAAAAGGTGAAACTTCATCCTTCTGGCCAACAGGCGCCGCATCTGTGGCTTGGGCAACAGTGCAGACGACATGGTGACTTTATTTCCTAAAAGATGAAAAGAAAAAAGGAAATAAGGAGAGTTGCAGAAGATGCAGCTCTACTGAAACAATTTTCTGGACCTAGATCGTGCTTTTTGTATGGCGTAATCATCATCTTCACGAGATAAGTAACAGTGCTCCCGTGTATTTGACCTTCCAATGACAAGATTTAAGGGACAGCGTTCAAGGGCAACCTATTTATGACATGAATCTAAATCAGTTTTTACACTCCTTGCATCCACCACTCGTGGAATCAAAACTGGCCGTCGCTGCTCACACTAAATCCCCCACCCCCTCCCTGTAGGGTCTCCCCTTCCCGGCCTGCTGTCCCGGAATCAGGGTCAGAAGGCACTCTAAGCGGTGCTGGAGCCCCGCGCCTCCCCGCTCCGAGGGCGCCCCGGCCCGCTCTGCCGCCGCCGCAGGGCCCGGCCCCGCAGCCCTCAGGGACGCGCAGAGGTCACGGCGCTGCCGCGGGGCCGCCACCGAGCGGGGAGCGGCGGCTGGCAGCCTTTGGGAAGAGGGTGCGGAGGGGAAGCCGAGGCAGCCCGAGGGGCAGGGGAGCCCGGAGTGCCGGGGGTCCCGGCGGGGGGCGGGGCGGCCTCACCTCCGCTGCCGCCGCGCTCTGCCGCCGCTCCCGCTGCAGCCGCCACACCCCGCATGCGCGGGCCGCCGGCGTACGGCGGGCGGCGCGGGCCAAACCCGGCCGTGCGCAGCGCCCGGCCCCGCCGGGGACAGATCCGAGCCGCGCCATCCCTTGGGCTGGGAGAGACCTCCGGGATCGTGGAGTCCAGCCTGTGACCGAACACCCCCGTGTCAACCACACCATGGCACCGAGTGCCACATCCAGTCTTTCCTTAAACAGCGCCAGGGACGGTGGCTCCACCACCTCCCTGGACAGTCCACTCCAAACAATCACCCTTTCGTAAAGAAATTCCCCAGAACATCCTCTTGTCCTGTCACTTGTTGCCCGGACAACAAGTTGATAATTTGTTGACCTCCAGCCACCTACAACCTCCTTTCAGGCAGTCGTAGAAAGCAATAAGGTCACCCCTGAGCTGTTGCCTCTCCAGGCTGAGCAACCCCAGCTCCCTCAGCTGCTCCTCATCCAACTTGTGCTCCAGACCCTTCACCACCTCTGTTGCCCTTCTCTGGATGTGCTCCAGCACCTCAATGTCCTTCCTGTAGTGAGGAGCCCAGAACAGGTCACAGCACTTGAGGTGCAGCCTCACCAGTGCCAAGTACAGGGGGCCAATCACTGCCCTGGTCCTGCTGGCCACACTGTTCCTGACACAGGCCAGGATGTCATTTGCCTTCTTGGCCATCTGGACACACTGCTGGCTCATGTTCAGGTCCCTTTTTATGTCTTTAAAGTCCCTTCCAACCCAAACCATTCTGTGATTCTGTGATTCTATTAAGAGCAATGGGAGAAGACTGTGCTGGCCCCCTGAAGGATGCCCAGGGTGGCACTGCGATGCCAAGGGGCTCAAGTCTTTACATATACAGTTTGCCAGGAATTATTGGCCAAGCCTAGAAACAAATTAAACCATTTGTAATCCTTCCTAGATATCCCTTAGCCAGTTTTTGTACCTTTCTTGGAAATGAGGCACATGTTCTTTGACCGTGATTTCCACATAATCACCACCTGCATGTGGAATTGTCATTTTTATTCATGGGGAGTCTCTGTGGGATTTACACTAAATGCTATGAATTCCTGCCTTGAAAAAACAAGCCTTCCTGTGCAATGAGGTATTCATTCAAGCTTTTCACTTCTTTGCCAAAGCCAGCAGATCCTGACATAAAATGGCAGAGGAGATGGGCCCTTAAAACTGAAGAGAAGTTGCTTTTCCTATGATGGAATTCAGAGGAAAGTGTCAGTAGAAAATTGCAGAGGGAACTCGTACAGCTGTGGCTACAAGCTGGGAGAATGGTCTTTGCAACAGTGGTTTGAATAGACGCAATTTGGACAACATTCCTCAAACTGAAGAAAAGTTTGTTACAATAGTTGAGACTAAAATGAAGAATGTCTGTCCAAGAGCTTTTCCCCATGTGGATTAACACAAAAACCCCAAATGTTAATGGTGTCATGCAGAAAGAATGGCAAGATATATCATCAAGGGCAAATCGTGCTGACAAATTTGTTGGCTTTCTACAACAGGGTGACAGTGTTGGTGGATGAGGGAAGAGTAACTGACATCATCTACCTGGACCTGTGCAAAGCATTTGACATTGTCCTGCACAACATCCTTGTCCCTAAACTACAGAGACATGGATTTGATTGATGGACCACTCAGTGGATAAGGACTAAAGGAACTGGCTGGATGGTTGCACTCTCAGAGTTGTGGTCAAGGGCTTGATATTCAAGTGTAGCCCAGTGATGAGATGCCTTCCTTAGGGGCCAGTACTGGGACCAGCACTGTCTAACATCTTTGGTGGCAACACGGACAAAGGGAGAATGGAATTAAACTAAAAGAGGGCAGGTTTAGATTAGATATGAAAAGGAAATTCTTTACTGAACCTGACCTCATGAAAAAGAGGATACAAAATTAATTAGAATAAAAGCATAGCAGGTTTCGTGGCTACTATCATCATAGATTATATATGAGTAACTTTCCTATAAACATCAGTCTTGTGGAGGCAGGGTAGTTTGGTGGATGGAACAAGGTCTGCAAATAAAAACTTCTGATTGCTGTTTTCAATAGCTTACTTCATGGCTGGCCAGGTCATTGAATTCTTTTCTGTGTGACCAGTTTTCCCATGTGCCTGAGATACTGCTGGCTAGGCATCTTTGTGTTATAGTTAAGATGCTAAATGAAGTGCTAATTGTTATCATTCTTTGATGTTGTTACTGTGGAATATACAGCCAACTCATTATTGTTCTGTGTAAAGGGCAGTTCGGGACTGTGCAAGCAGGAGATTAAAAAAGGGATTGAGGATACACTGGAGGAAGAGCAATGGAAGGAAGGCAGAGATAATCAGCTCCATGAAGTCAGTGCACAGAGTTGCTTCCTGTGAGTCAGTTTCTGAATGGATTATAAGGCTGAATGTGGTTTTGGACCTGACTGGACCCTGTGCATCCAAATGCATGAAAGCAAATAAACCTTCTGAAAACATGAAGGCACGTGATACAGAGACAGCAGCAGTTGTTTCCTTCCCAGTCCAACAAGTCTCTGAGATCTCTGGCACCTAGTCCAGCTGTCTTTGAGACAATTTTTGGGACAAAATTGGGAAAATTTGGACTGTTTGCTCAAAAGGTGCCACAGTTATCAAAGTAGAATCTTCAGTCCTCTTTTTCTCTGCAAAATACCAAAGTGCCAGTAAGAGTTTACACTTCTCCATGGTATCCTTGAAAGGGATCATCATTTGAGGAGTGAAGGAAGGCATTAATGCTAAACCATTTCTTGCTTGTGGTCCACTGAAATATGAAATAAAACTTACCTCTGACTTTAGTGAGAGCAAATTTAGGCAGTGAATCCTTGTCTTTTCCACAGAGTGCCAGCTGTGATACTTTGACTGTACTTTTTGTGGTGTGGACTGACGCCAACTAGGAACAGGACTGTGACAATCGAGTGATTTTGCATATGCCACAAAAAGTCTTCAGATAGTCATAATCTGGATCAAATTAGGACAAAAAAATCTACTGGAGAAAGATCACATGGGACATCAGCAATCCCCTGAGCCAGCTGCATTCCCAAACAGTTTAATTTAATATAAAATATACCTCTCTATCACAAAAGAAAAAGAAGTTTAAAAATGCTATGTGCCACATATGAAAATGAATACATCTGGGCTCCTCCTCCCCTTTATGTGCCAGAAATTAACTAATCAAATACTCTCTTGCTACAGCTGTGTCTACCTCAACCCACGGTGCTGTGGAAAAAACGAAGATATTGTGGCACAAGAAGCTTTTTGACACAATTGAAATGGCAGCTGCACAAAAAAATGAGGGTGAATCAATAATTCCTAAATGGAAAAAGTCAAAATTAGTAGGGGGAAGGAAAATATTTTTGTACTTCCAAACGAGCATTATAAACAAAGGAGAGGAAAAAAAAAAAGTTCAAATCACAATAAATGGAGCAGACAGGGATTTCACAAGCCTCTGTTGATGGTATGCATGTTTTTCAAATAGAAAAATCTCAAAAAAGTGATTTCTTAAGTTTTGCTCCACTTGTAAATAGACAGATTTTGGTCTATACAATACACATGAAATAGTGATATAATTATGTGAATGTTCTTGTGTTTGGTATCATCATGAGTTATAGTGTTAAAAAAATAGCTATTTTCCAAGTTCCCAGCATGGCTAATGCATATATTCAGGCCCAAGAACCAGAAAACACACCAGGTTCCACAGCTGAGACATTAACACTGATGTGACACTTTTCCCCCTACTTTTTCTGGAGTACTGTTCTGCACTAATTGTTCTCACTCTGTCCTCCAGGTTCAGAGGGACTATCTGAAATAAGTACACTGCTTATTTCAGCAACAGGAAATCCTTAGTTAGATAAAATAAGCTTTTAAACAAAAAGAACTTTCTATATGTGTCATTCTCACCTAGAAGTTGAACTTAGACAAGTGTGACTTCATCAGTCATTGCCATAAACATTCTACATTATCATCTGTTTTCTTAGAAAAGACCAAAACCACACCTACAAGAAACACCTCCTTCCCATCCCTGTTCCTTCTCAAAGCCCTTTAAATGATGCCAAGATTCTTCTGTCTTTTGTGGTTTAAAATGTTATGTAGCCTGTCTGCAATAGAAATAAAGACATCAAAGAGAACATTTTTATCCTGTTCCTTTAGTGCTCTGTATTTGAGTAGAGGTGCCTTACTCTGAAAAACTGTTTTCATTCCTCATCCTTGTTTCTCCAGGAACATGTGGAGTTAAACCATCTTTACAGGCAAATACTACACACAAGCATTTTGTGTACATTTACTAGTGCTCTCCTCCTTGATCATGGATGCATTACAGTAAGTCTGAGCAGGAGATTCATGTGTACCCTTCAGTAATCCAAAACCATTGAAACAAGGAGTGTTCCTCACACTTTAATAGGGTTTAGGACAGACCCTTTGTTAGCTTCTGTTTTTCCTAGATGTGACCAGTGATCAACAGACCTCCAGGAAAGCAGAAAGTGGCCAGCTGCTGCTGTTCACACAGCTATAATTTTTATTCAAGGAATAAATTCTCACAGAAAATGACAGAACAACTTTCCCGTGGGTGTAAGACAGTGGTTGTAAAGTGCAAAAGTCTCTTTCAAGTAGAAGATTGGACTCATTCTCCACAGGGCACTACATTTGTCCCTTCCTTAGTTAGGTTCACCATCTTTGCTCTGGGCAGCTCTTGGCTCAGTGTGCTTCTCTCAGAGAGAGCTGCATAGAGAGGAAAAGGGTCTTGCTCAGGTTGGGGACTGCACCCTGGGAGAGTGACACCTAAAAATTTACAACTGTAGGATTTAACCTAGAGATATCTTTGCCATTTATTTGATTTACCTGGTACAATACAGAGCTCATGCTGACATAAAAAGATTGGCCCAGATTATGTATAAAGCATCACTTTGCAATTGGTTTCTGTGACAAGTTTTTAGACTTTTTCTCACAGATTTCTGAACATCTCATTTTAGTCTGTTTTAATTCACATTGAGGTGATGACACGGTAAGCCTTATGAAATGCTGG